CTATAGTATTAACAGACATGTAGTACTTGTAATTCAGTCTTGATGTAAAATCTTGAATTATATGCAATAAGTAATTACTGCATTTTACAACAATAAAGGGATTTACTACATAATATGTAGTAAATCCCTTTATCATCCCACAATGGAGAAATTCACTCTCTGCAGTTTGACACATCCCTTTAGGGAGCAGTGGGCTACCATTGTGGGGTGCCCGGAGAGCAGTGCGGGGTTACAGGTTTTGCTCAGGAACCCAGAGTGGAGGCTGTGGGGATCGAACCAGGTACTAGCAACCTTTCCAGAGCACGAGAGCACTGCTCTAACAGTGTTGGTCCACAGTGTTGGCCTAGTTAATCAGTGGCTAATACATCAATTTAGGTCTCTTGGCACATCTTTATTATTATGCTCCATTAACACATTGATTTTACTGTGATGGATTTGTATAACATCTTATATTACATGATTTATAGACTTCATTGACACATATATTGACACAGTATGACCCATTCATACTGACCATGCAATGTGATGTGCTTATTTTAATCATAAATAGCAGTAATCTAGTTATGATATGAAACAGCAAGTTTGTGTCAAAATTATGAATTTATCTTTATTTTAGTATTTGTTGTTTGATGCTGTTCCAAACGTATTATTTACTTATTTTATTTATTATTTATTGAATAAATAGAGATTATTGTTGTGAACTCTGTGTAGGATCCCTCTCTGCACAGTGGCTCTTGATACGCTCAATGCAGCTTCAATCCTTGTGAAGCTCCCCCTAAATCATGAATTGATTTTGACCGATATCTTCTTAAGGCTGTGGTTATCCTTTTGCTGGTGTATAATTTCTTCCAGCCCTTTGTTTCCCCCTTTCTAGTTAACTTTCTTTTACTATGTGTGGATATAGCACTCTTTGAACAAACTTCTTCAGCAATTATCTTCTGTAATTTACCCTCTTTGTGGAGGGTATCAATGATTGCATTTTGAACATTAGCAAATCAGCAGTCTTCCCAGTGATTACACAGCCTAATGACCTTGTCTGGGTGACAATTTACAGGCTGAAGAAAACTTTGTAGGTGTTTCTTTTTGATAAGATGATAAGGGTGTGGGACCATGAGTTTCCAACATTGACTTTTTTTTTTCCTCTGGAATATTGTAGCTTTGTTTTCATAGTTTTTGAAAGATTTGTTGTTTTTGTTTACAAAAACATTAAAAGTTTCCATGTTAATTAGTCTTTTCAGATTTCATCTATACCTTGTTGATCTATGGAAAAAACAGACTCAGTGATGTCCAGAATCAAACCTCATTGTGTATTGCATGTTTGAAATGCTATCCCTCAATTCAACACACCTGCATCAAATAAATGGCTCATTAGCCGATCTCTGCAGACCTAGGAGATATGCAGAAGTGGTAATTAGGCCATTTGACTATGCTACCTTGGATCAAGGGCACGTCTTAAACTGGTAGCACACCTGTGCTATACAACTGGAAAAGAGGAAGGCAGAGTATTTATAAAGCTCGATAACAGTAGACAACAACATCCAGAGAGTTTTATATCTAAAACATAAGAATTTGTATTTTTTATTCCATGAGGGGGCATCATGCCAAACTACAGAGATAGGTGACTTTGACTTTAATGTTGGTTGCCATTACAAGTTCAGAAAATGGTGGTTGTTATGGTCTAGGACCTGGATGACTTCCCCATGCTCTGATATAGAGTAAATACATATAGGTCATCCATATATTCAATGTTTTACTAAAAAATCCAGCAGAATGTAAGACCACCAGTTCAGTTTTTGACCTTTAGTGTAACTCACCCAAAAATATACTTTTTTATTTATATAAAGTGTTCAAACTGGGCCAATAGAGTATTATTTACATGCATTTTTTCTTTTTTTTTTTACGTTCATTACAGAATTTTGCCCCTCGAGGGCCACTGTTTTGCAGATTATAGAGATTTCTCTGCTTCAGGACAGCAGATTCTGATGATTGCAGTTAAGAAAAGGCTGTTTATCAGATATCAATGGAAGTCTGCTGTGCTGAAGCAAAGAAACCTCTAAAGCCTGCAGGAGAGCAGCCCTCAAGTACTGACTTTGGGCGACTTTGGGTTTAAACAGTACATGCTTTAGGTTTTTGACAACAATGCATGCTTTCATAGTCAAAGCCCCACATTCAAATAAACAGTGAGCACAGCAGCCTCCGACTATTGCTAGAGAGCAAGTCATCCTGCCTCAGCAGCACTGACTTTAGGCATCATGAAGTCATTACCTTAAAGCAAGTGGTTCAAATTGATAACCCCTTGCTCACACTGGCTCCGGTGCGGTCACCGAGCCGACGGAGACCGCAACTCCCGCACATCCCCTCTCACACCGCCCTTTTGACTACGGTGCGGTGCGGTGCGGCTCTGCGGCTCCGGCAACAGGTCCGGAGATTTAACTCGCGAGAACAGAAGTTCACTTGAGTTCACGTAACTTCACGCGATAACACGGCCCAAATAAGGATATTTGCGAGAGCTTGTTGCGGAGGGCTCGGTAACCGCAGCCGGACAGCTCAGCAGCCGGTGAGAGAGGTTTATGTCTTTTTAATGACTTGGAATCACTGCGGCGCCGCACCCACCGCACCGCAACGGTAAGACCGGAGTCGGTGTGAGCCGGGGGTAAGAGTCTGGTCAGCTCGGCTCCTTTAACCTTCTGTGACAAAGGGGGGAATCCTCCATCTTTTTGGTCATGAAGTAACTACCAGCATTCCTCTGCTCAATCCCCATGCTTCCATGAGGCTAAGCAAAGCTAAACCCCGGGTCATACCATTTATGTCTGATTTTATTTAATTTTTTTAAATCTCTGATCTGATTTTTTTTCTTAAGAAATTGTCAAGAAATTAGATCTAGCTGCCCCTTTTGCTTATCCTGCAACAACTCCTGCTACAGTAATTCCCCACCCTGTCCCTCAGTGTCTCTTTGCCCTAAGTAATTTGATGGCATTATAATAAATTTGTCTGGGTGCAGGTTTATCATTTTACACGGGATAAGTTAGACTTTAAGGTCAAATGCCAATCGGTTATACATCTGGACAATTATCATAAGCAAATCCCTAAGCACATAAATGGATGGCCTAAAAAAAGCTAAAAGGCTTAATGCTACTTTTTTTACATGTCAAGAAGTAAAAAAAATGCGGAAAAAATCCTCCACAATACCTTTTATATATATATATATATATATATATATTAGGGCTGCAACAACGAATCGATAAAAATCGACTTTTAAAAGCGTTGGCAACGAATTTCATCATCGATTAGTTGTGTCGCGCGATTAATGCGTCATCCGCCGCCGCCGTCATCACATCCACTTGACTGAAGCGGGGAAGAAGAAAAAATACGGCAGAGCGAGCCAGCGCCGCAGGTGCAGTGTTGCCAACTCAGTGACTTTTCAGACCCCTCCAGCGACTATTTTTCAAAAAAGGGACTAGCGACAAATCTGGCGACTTTTTTCGGTGTCACTGGCGGCTTTTGGAGACTCTTACGTGAAAGCATGTATCGTTCCTACTCTGCCGTGGGGCGCTTCCCCCACCCCAACCGCGTTTTCCCGCAGGAGTCCCTCATAGCGCTGCAGTCAGTGCCTCAGCTTCCAGACTGCAAATGATGCGCGCATGCACCGGGATTGACGGCGCAAATTGATCACAATAATTAAAATAGCCTGCGCTTTGTAAAGTGAAAAAAGTGATAACATGCAACTTTTTTCAAAAGAAATTAACATGGCACGGAACCACCATGTTTGTTTGGTTTTAAAGTGGGGAAACGTTACGTTACTTTCTCAGGTAGCTCATCTGATGCTTTCCTTACCGTGTTAGTAGGTTACAGACAGTGATAAGGTTGGCTACTTATTTTACTTTTAATTTCATTTGAATTAGCTTAAGCAGCGTTTACATTTACTTTATAAATAAATTAACTTGCAAATTATGAGGGCAAGGCTTTTAAAGTTTAAATCTTCTGGCAAAGATAAAGTAAAGAAGATCCTGCAATTTATGGAAGTAAAGCAGAATAAAATCCAGCAAGATCAGTAATATGTCAATTAATTATATGCCACATTCCCATGTAAATTGGAGTCTTTGGAGGATGTGCTTTTTAGCACCCCGAGTTCTCTCATTTTTATTCCAAATACAATTTATAATTTGAATCACAGGGCTATTTTGATCTCTATGGTTCAGTATTTTCTCAAGTAGCAACTTTAACTGCTATACTTTCCTGTCTTAAAAGGCAGGCATATATATATATATATATATATATATATATATATATATATATATATATATATATATATATATATATATATATATATATGAGATATAGATTTGTTTGATAATCTGAATTATAAATCAAACAGAATGCTTAGGAAAAAATATTTCAGAGCAAAAAAAATGTTAACACCACTATTAGAGTGGGTTCTAAACTTAAAGTGAAATTCCTTGATTATATATATATATATTAAGATTTTTCTGGAAATTGTTATATATGTCAAAATGATATAAATCCACATGTTTGGCATGTAGCAAAATCTGGCATGTATTTAAATATAGATATTACACTGATTAAATTTACTTCACAAGTATTGGGAAAGCATGCTTTGCTGTGAGCCTTCTGTTATGGCATTACCTGAAGCCCCATATCATTAATTCTAAACCATTAAATATAAAATGAATAGTCTGTTGTATAAAATGTCCTTTATTTCAATAGAATATCCATTTGCCTATCCCCTTAGAAGTTAATGAGCACATCATCTTCAGATCAAACCTTGACTCTGAAAAAAATTGGACAACATAAAATCCTTTTGAGACTTGGAACTCCAAGTCTTAAATATTAATACGGAATATGAATATTGATTAAAAAATGATCATGGCAAAAAATAAAAATCACTACTTTTTTAAGTATGTGGTTATATTGTCCCTTCTGGATACTGTAAGAGCGATTAAACTTAGTAAACAGTAAAATAGGTGAACAAATCAACATTGTTGTATTTTAAAGAATTTTACTCAGAACAATTTTAAGGGTGTAGTTATGTGCTTTCTTTCAGTTAAGTACATCAAAAACATGTTTACTGAATAGTTAATCTGCTCTTTGGATTGCAGTATGCTCAAAAACCCACAGCTATCAAAAGCATGACTATATGCAATAGCGTAATTTACACAGAGGAATAAAATACAGAAAAATATGTATATCACAACATTTAAATACATTTAATGACAATCTTCCATTGCTGGCAGAGAGAAGCAAAAACTGGCTTTTTACTTTTCCAGTGTGATAACATGCACACTTTCAGATTTAGCATCACTAAGTTAGCTGAATATTCCACCTTTTGATAGAGACTGGAGAAATTTTCATCAAATGATTTAAAGTTTTTTTTTTTATATATATATATCAGAAAGGCCACTGCTGACAGACAGTTCTGTCAATAATCGACAAAGAAGTCAAGCAATTGTTCATTATAGATGTTACATCACTTAAAACCATGACTATATTTATTATCAATCTGTTTAATATATATTTTTTGGTCTTTGTAATTGCTGGGTTATTTTCAATAAGTCCAGATATGATTGTTGAAACAATATGACAACATGAGAGGGGGGTAAATATGATGCAATTTTCCCAAAGTTAAAACGGGTACAAGAAACAAAGAAATAGCATTTCAGGCAAGAATGTATGGGCTCATATACCAGGTGTGTGTGCTTTTAAGAACAATCAATGGGAAAGATAGCCAACAGGAAAAAAAATAATTTTCCTTTGTCAAAAAAAAAAACACCAAAAAGAGCTAAAATACTTTTCCACTTCTTATCTGTAGAAACCAGCTTGTCTTTTACTGTAGCTGTGCTTTATTTATATGCTTTCCTTATTTGGTTCCACATAGAAATCATGGAATTGAGTGAATGTTAACATACTGTACAGTACATACATGTACAGAAATCTGGAACAATGTTGAACTTTTTCTTTTAAAGATTCGGTCCCTGAAGTAAAAAAATGTCAAAGTTATAGTGTCTAGATGCATTTGCTGCTGTGCTATAGCTCACAAACTGATTACATATTTTAGATAAGAACAGAATGCATCCTTACTGCAGTTTGTAAGTTTACATGACCTCCTTTGGGAGTTCACATGATTTTCATGTTGAATTGTACAGGTGCCTCTGTCGGACTGGCCTCCTCTGTTTCCTCTTTGCGTGGCACATATTCAACTTCAATAGTTGACTTAGTGCTGTCTTTTCCTCTACTCCACAGAAATAAAATTACAAGACAGAAGAGAACCACTCCAAGAAATGAGATGAATCCCATTGTGGTTGCCACAATAAGTGTCTTTACATCAAATGGAAATGGAACTGTTGCTCTGGTCACATTAGCACCTTCATCGCTTGGCTGGTTAGAGATAAAAGCAAATGTCTTATTTGGCTGATGGGGCCAATTAGGGGAGTAGCTGTGTACAAAAAGGTGAGCAGCTTTGGTGTCATTGCCAGCAGCATTACTGGCAATGCACAAGTATGTCCCATTGTCCTGAATTTGGGCATAGCGGACCTCCAGTGTACCTTCACTGGATACAGAAAGTCTTGATCCCATAGTCTTTGTAGTAATGTACTCCTTCTTGGGGGATAGCCACATTATAAGTGGAGCTGGATCACCTTCAGCCTCGCAAGAGAAGTGAACAGTAGTTCCTTCGTCCACATGGCTTTCCAGAACCTTGTAATCCACAATTTTTGATTTTTGGCAGATGAAGTAGTCAGGAGGCAGTACATCTGGGAAATCTTTGAACTCTTTACCTTGCACAATCTCGGGAGAAACACAAATGGGCTGTTGTTTGTTAAAGTTAAGCCTCCATCTCCGGCGGAACACCCATAGCAAGCGGCAGTCACAGGCCAAAGGGTTTTCATACAAAGCCAGGGTCTCCAGATTTCCTACTGAATGAAAAACAGACTCCTCAAGGGTGCTCAAGTGATTTCTTGACACATTAAGAATACGGAGGTGGTTGAGACCCCTAAAAGAGTAGGGCTCAATAGCCACCAAATTTCCACCAGCCAAGTGAAAGGCCTGGAGCTTTTGTAGATTGAAGAGTCGGTTCCCTTCAACAGTATGAATAGGATTGAAGGATAGATTCAAAAACCGAAGATATCTGAGATGACTGATGGCTTCATAGGGGATGGCAGACAGATTGCAGTTCGTGATGGACAACGATGTAAGGTTGAGTCCATACAAACTTTGTGAGGCCATAGTATTCAAGGCAGGCATATGAGAAATCTCCAGTACTCTTAGTCGATACAACCTTTTAAAGGAGAAGTCCCTTATGTCAGTGATGTTCAGATAGCGTAATCGAAGTGATAGCAGGTTGTGAACATGGCTGAGGGCATCAGTGGGAACTGAGCCCAATTTATACCCTTCAATGTTGAGGCTTTCAAGATTGGTAAGACCATGAAATGATCGGGGTGATATAAAGACTAGGTCATTGTCCCCAACTTCCAAAGCCCTCAGGTTGTACAGCTCTTGGAACATATAATCAAGCAAAATCACAATTTTATTCTCGCTAATATCCAACTGTGTGAGGTTGACCATGCCTGTGAATACTCCTAGCTGAATGAGCTTCAGCTCGTTGCTGCGCAAGCCTAGAGTTCGAAGATTCATTAGGTTACTAAAAGCCCCTGGCTCAATTGATGAAATGGTGTTTTCGTTCAGCTGCAGCTCCTCCAACTGTGGATAATTAATGAATTCCTCAGGCCCCAGAGTTTTCAGACGATTTTTGCTGAGGTCTAGTAGTTTTGTTTCAGTGGGAATTCCCTCTGGAAGAGCTGCCAGCCTTCTTCGATGACAGACAACGGAACGCTCTTGGCCATTGCAGTCACATTTTGAAGGGCAGCCAGTGGTGGAGCCTGAAAGGACAGTGCCCAGCATCAGGATCAGGATGGGCTGCCAGCATGCCACCAAGTAGCTGTGCCCTCCTGCCTCTCCAGACACCATCCTACTGTTTACCTGCGAAGACATAGACAAAAGTTATTTTGATATTTTATAGTAACCAAGGCATCATCAAATAAAAGTAAGCTTTATGATTGAAGAGGTTACGGAAGGATTATGGCCAATAAATATATACAAGCAGAACACGTTTGTTTGAAATCTTTCAAAAGAAAACAAGAACAACTTTTTTTGTATATATATATATATACATATATGTCTTTTAAACATGCTAACTGGATTTTCCCTTCTGCATTTGATTTTGTCAGGGTGAGGTTCCTCATTGGTAATAGAATTAGACAATCAGTGAAAGCTGTATGGCTTGGCTATACACTGCAACTACCCTGAATTACTGCATAAGCTTTAAAGCATGTGTATTGCTGTTTTTGTAAAGGAATGTAAAAATGAGTGTTTTAAAACACGTGTCTGAACTATAAATGTTTGATTGGTTTTAAAACTTGAGCTTTTCAAACTACATGAAACATCCATTATATCTAGGAGAAACACCCTAAAAAATGTTCCTTTGTGCAAAAGACTCCTTGGTGATGTACTTATATTAGACCATGCACAGTTGTTTCTTATCTGAAAATGGTTGAACCCTTTGATATTTCTATTCATATAATAATGAATCATTTTATAAAATCAGAAGGTTACATACAGCCAACACAATTAATACCAATCATTGCAAACAATTCCTTTTGTTGAAGGTGTAATGCCTGTAAATTGAATTTTTTGTAGATTAGATTAGTCCACAATATACTCATCTGCTGAATCCAGTAAATTTGGTTTTTCTGACTAACAAGGAGAGCAAACCTAGTTTCTACTAAACAATTTCTTCAATTTTTTTACTTGTTTTTTTCATAAATCATTTGCAAAAATGTCAAGGTGAACAGTTTACAGATGCCCGCCTAAGAAGTAGCAGTTTATGCAAAACAGATACTGTACTTTTAGATGGTAAAAAATAAAAACTATTCTGTTAGTTTATGTATCAGGTAACCTTGTCCCTTCTCAGGTTCAGTTTATTAAAATTAAAACTTAAGTTTACAAAACATATCACTAATTTGACATTTTCATGCCTGATTTCACTGAAGAAAGATGGAGCAAATATTGGAAAAAGTATTTCTTCACCTTGGAGAGCGAACTTTGCAACCACATAATTTGAAGCAGTGTTTTGTTAAGTACCAGCTTTCTTAAGGTCAAAGACAGAATATTTAAGCCTATAAGCACCAGAGTGTCATTGTTCTATTTAAGCATCTGTTAAGTTTCCTTTCTAGTCTTCCTGTTGTAACTTCGTGCCGGGTTTTAGATCGTTGTGCTTTTTGAACCATTTTCAGTCAAGATTGAGCTTTTTGGGTGATGGCTTACACTAGTATAAATACTAGTTTATGGTCTATCCAAGGATGGCATGGTACTAAGTGCTGTGTGCTTGTAAAACAAGCCCAAATCTTCACATCAAGATGTTTTACATTTCCCATATGTTTTGTTTGCTCTAAACATGGCTCTACAAACACCCACATTCATCCAACCTGTCCATCAAATGTAGGTCAAACTTGTTTTGTATTGAGAGAAAAGATTTGCCCTTGTTTCTATTCCAATTAAGACCTACATGTTTGATATTTTTCTAAGGGGACTGATATGTTAACATTTAATATGGCAAATGTGGCTTGCAGTAGAATTATAAAATTGTTAAGAATCTGAAATTGGGTGAGAAGCTTACATATGGCAAAATTGCAAAGGATTTTTAATGATGTACATAAAAAAATGTTCAAAAATGTTTTATGAATTTTTGAAAAAGAAGAACAAAGAGGACAGGAGAATCAAATAAAAAGGTGGAGGCAAATCTAATGATCATTAATTGTATTATTTGGTGTATATTGGAAACATTAACATGTACACAGATATAAATATAATATGTAAGTACTCAAAACAAGAATGCAAATTCTAGGTAGCAAATGTAATGAAACAGAAAATCTGTTATTATCTGCCAGTTTAAAAATATTTAGTTCCACAACTTCACATCAACACCTTTTCTTGGTGTATGATGTGGTGCAGTGGTGTTTTCAGTGTAAAGTAATTTTCCTTTAATTTGGAATGTACACCCAAGTGTCAAGTTCAGTTTTAAGAAATGACAAAAAAAAATTTAAATGTCTAAAAATTACCTACAGTATATATGTTTTTGCTTTTTGTGCATTATATATACAGTAATATTTGTTAGATGTGATTATGTAAAGTCTTATCTGTTTTCCAGTTTAAAAGAAAAAAAGCACTTCCAATTTAATAGATGATATTTCTTTAGCAACACTGAACTGCTGCTCTCCTTTTTTAATCCTGTAAAAACAGATATGTGAGCATTTTTCATTTGTTTGTTTTTTTACAAACAGATTTACCATTTTCCCATCCTGTTTTAAATATCAGTGAAGTGTTTAATCTATTGTACATTTGTGTACACTTAAGATTAGAAGTAAATACAAAGCATATCCAAGTATCATATCCGACTATTCAGATATAGCAAAGCTGACTAAAAACGATAGCAGCCATGCCATGCTGTTGCTAACAGCATGACATGGCTGCTAAAAGTTAGTTTATTTGATGACAATAAGCTAACTATTCTCCTTTTAAAAGGTTTAGAGGTTTGAAATAGTCTTCAGTAGACAAAATGTTTATATGACTCTGTCATGACTCTGCCTCTCTTCATTGATGTTTTAAAATCATTATTTATTCGTACATAGGAATGGACAGGCCTCTTCTATACTGCCCCTTCATGGTTTACTGCAATTTATCAGGGGACTTTTCACTGTGTCATATTCCTTTCTTAAAATTCCTGTCTCTGCCAAACTTCAGTCTCCTGCCCCAACAGGCAGTACGGTTTCATGCAGGTGAAAGAGAGAGCAAAATATGCACTTCATGGATCAGTAAATATCTGAAGCATTATACAGACAAATGAGCTTTATGCATCAGTGCATATGTCCCTTTCAGCTGTTTTTAGTTATTAAATACCTTTGCTGTGTGGCATAATATTGAAAACTATTAGCATATTTATATTGGGAAGAAACTGGAGCAACTATGAGGTTCATTGGAGCTTTTAAGCTGGAGGAAGGAATTGAAAAAATAAAATTAAAAAGAATAAAGAAAAAAACAGATTGCTAATGCAAATGGGATTAGAGAGCGGGTGAAGATATGTGACAAAGGTGAACAGGCTGGGACTCAAACCTGTGATGGCCACATTAAACTATACACAAAATGCTTATTATCCTTCTTTTCATAAACTTAATCCCTAACCTGAAGTTTGACTAAAATACAGTAGGTTATTGGTCTTTTATACTAGTAAATATATTTCTCTTCCAAGACCTACCATATAGTGAAACTTTACATATGTAGTGACACTAGTGAAAGTATCACAGTTTGATAAATTATATGAGCAAAAAAAAAGAACACTGGCATGTATAAACAAAAACAGAAAGTAGATAAGTAGATTAAAGAAGAGGTCAACTTCCATTTGAAAGTTTTTTAATCATCCCAAAACAGAGAAAAAAATTTCACATCTTCAACATTTAGTTTTAGAATAAATTATCCTGTAGAGGCCTGTGCCCTGAGTCAGATAAACAACCGTTACCTTTTGTTTTACTGAACATACTATGTTATTAGTGTTGTTTGGTTTTTAGTGGGAAACTGTTCTAGTTTTCTCTGGATTGCAGAGAATGCAGAGAAGAACCTTTAATGACAAGACAAAATAGATACATTTGCCAATATGAAAACAATCAAAAGCTTGTTTTGTTTTTTGTTTTTTGTTTTTGTTGAAATACAATACAGGCTGGTCAATCCATGTACTGTACACTTAAAAAAATCAATCAATAACCTTAAACCTCTTTTACACATCACTCAGTTAGAACCACAAACATCAGAGGTTTTAATGGTATTTTATATCATTGCAAAAAAGAAGGAACAGAAGAAAGTAGAAAAATACATTCAAACGTATTTAATATGAAAAATCTAAAGGTGTTTCTAAATGTTTTTTCCACCCTCCCAGGTCAATAGTCCTTCCACACTTAAAAGTGCTTCAGATCCAAACTTTAAGCAATTGTGACTTGATTATCAATACCATGCAACCTATGAGTTACTTTTTAACAACTACTAATACCTAAGCTATAAGATTCAGGAAAGGGCTTAAAGTCTTTTAACCATACACATCAGCTCTAGAGGATGGTGTGTGTGTGTCTGTTTGTATACAGAAATCTTATGGATGGGTTTTAAGGAAATTTTGATCATGTGTATCCCTTATGCCAAGGAACAATCCATAAGAGCTTGGTGATGATCCAAATCATAATCTGGACACAGGAATTTTTTAAAAGATCCTCTTAAATTGTGATATACAGACATTTGGTGGAGCAATTAATTCCCCACTAAACCAGAAGGTTGCAGCAGTGACTTTTTACAGCCTCAGCATTGGACTCAAAAAGTTATTTTACTAAAGACAAAAAATCAATTGAAAGCTTCTGAATGGATTTTATGAAAATTAGCAGAGGTGCACCTGATGCCCACGAACATTTCATTTAAATGTGGTAATGATCCAGTTCATATGCGAGTTTTAGCTTTAGTGTCACAATTGGGGGCAAAATATGCTACTTGGTGGAGGTCTGCACTTGCCGAGTTCTTTTCTAGTGTTACGAATGCAATTAATTAGCCAGCCCTACTTTGCACTTCACTAATATAAGTACATTACCTCACATTAATACGAATTTCAAAAGATTTGAAACTGTAATTTGGACATATATTTCTTCTGCCAAAATCATCCATTTTCTGTCACGCTTATCCCAAGCGGGGTCACAAGGGGGCTGGTGCCTATCTCCAGCTGTCTACGGGCAGGGTACTCTCTGGACAGGTCATCTTTCCATCACAGGGCAATGCCTAAATCCATTACTTCATAATGATACATTTGCTCTTTACACATTTTAATTCTATTATTCGATGTTTTAGAACTGGCACTTTTTTTTTTGTCCGGACAAATGAATTAAATCCAACAA